CTGTGAATTTTCCCTGAGTTACTTGTTACTCTCATTTGTTTAGGGTATCAGAGTAAGGAACTAAGTCAAGTGTCTGACACATTTTGAAAAAAAAATAATCAAGTATCATTTTGCCTCTACTTTATTTTATGCACAATTCCTTTTTGGTCTATTCCATAAAGTCCCAGAGAAAATTTTGGGGTAAAACATGGAGAAAATGTGAACATCTAAGTGCTTTTGCACTGTGCTGAAGCAGTAACATCGTGTCTTCAGTCTGACTGAAGTCTAACTCTGTGTGTATTACAGTGTAACTCATACACATGTTTGGGTGCCTCAAAATCCTCCTAATGCTGACTAAGCCTGCCTAGCGACAGGGCTCCTATACGTTCCACCATGCTGAATGTCACCCTGTGGCAGTCAGGGCAACTCATTAGCACCCGTTGTGCTCTGCTGCAGTGCATCATCAATGAACGTGAAGTGAGCCCAGAGCAGCCTTGAGATTTAGCCTTAAAGAGTAGAAATCAATACAAAAGCATCACATCTTCTTGAATTTATAATAAGACATTACTCTCTCTGTGTATCTCTGGTTTTAAGTTCTGCAGGGTTTTGTGGCTGCCGTCTTTGTAAGGTTATGTGCAGCCTTAAATGATCCAGGCTTCTGCAGGCTTTTCACACCAAAATAAATGTCTTCTAAAGGCTTTTATTGGTTTTATTTCTTCACGGTGCAACTAAACTGACAGCATACACATTGAATATTTATCACAAAATGTTGTGCCATGAATTTTAATCCCATATTCTCATCCCCTTCTTGTTGTTTGCATGAATGTTTAGCAACCCGCACAGCAGATGGTTGTCAGTCATGTAGGAAACACAAGAGGCATGCAGACCAGATCTGATTTCATGCACAAAAATAATAGGAGGAACCTTCTTTTGGACTCTGAACTGGCACTTGGATGAAGTACAATGATGTCATAGCTTATATTTCTCTACAGAAATGGGGTCCTAAGATGTGTCAATCACAAAAAAGCAAACTAGTGTTTTAATTTGGAAAATAGCCTAAAGGAGAAACATGTAATATTTTGCCAGATCAAGCTTACTCATTGAAACAAAAGACCTATATTTGGATAAGGAACTAGCGGGGGTTGTTCTTGCATTGATGTCGCACTGTGCGAGCCCCTCTTTCTGCTCTTGTATAATTTTATTTCAATTTGTTTGTTTTAAAAGCAAATATTTAGAAATTGTTTTCAGAATACATCTGACAATCCATTTGAAGCAAATGTATCTAAAGCATTTCTGTAAAATAGTTTTTGTTTGTTTTGGTTGATATCTCTGGAATATAAATATGACAGATTTTAGATGTACCAGTTTAAAATTCTTTTTTTTTTTTTTTTTTTTAAGCTTTTAGATATCTGGCTACAAATATGGAGAGTCAATATGTGCACATGCAAACATAATCCAAAAAGTTCACAAATCCAGAATTTATTTTATAATGTCTATAGATTAGAATTTTGACACTTATCCTGATGCCAAAAAAGTATCAAATAGACTGTTTATGTTTTTACAAGCATAGAACAAAGGTCTGATTATGATAACTGAATTTTAAAGAATTTCGTGTAAAATGTTTTCAGGTTTTGAACTGTTTAAATATTTTAGATGAATAGAGTGGAGCGAAATTTCAGTGTCATTATCAGCAATGTTGCACATACTCTTATGTGGCCAGAAAAGACTTAAGGAATCATAAATTGTGGATAATTTTGTTTTATAAATATACTGTTCTTAAAAGTTAAATATCCGTAGAATGACTACTGGATAAAAACTGGACCAAATAAGATCAATAATTCAGTATTCAATTGGATAATGTGAATTTCCCTTGTGGACCCAAGGAGTGCACATTTCTGAACTCCCTCAGCATCTCCAAACTACACTTTAAGATCCAAAACTCTACTTTTTTCAATCACCTTTTGATTATAGCCTGATGAATCCTTTCCAACAATTGTATCTCACCTAAATTGTTTGCCAGGAAAAAAATAAATCCAGACCAAAATTAATTTGGTCTGGGTAGTGTAAATGAAATCACTGCATTGTCATCAGTTTGTGCTGTTTTTTTTTTTTTTTCCATTCCTCTCCTGAGATAACGGAGGCAATATTTTTTCTCTGTCTCCCAGAATAATTCTCAACCAGTAGAGATAATCCATAAGAGGAAAAAGAAAGGCTCCTTTGAGATAGGCTCCTCAAGAAAATTGAAAAAGTTATTATTAATCCCACTGCCCAGCCTCAGCTTGCACATAAACTAACACACAACGTGTAGAGAAAAAAACAAGAATGTTTTTTTTACTCTGAATCTTGGTAAACAATATTGTTCTGTTTTTGGAAAATGGAACAAAAAAAAAAAAACTATGTCCCACTGGAACTCTTACATTTGATTAGGTGTTTCTGAAAGCAATACCAATATATACAATGTCAGAAGCATGGTAAATAGTTTCTTCAGGATGGAACAAGCAGATTGCAATTTATTTGTATTTAATTTAAATTGGTAAAGTGGGATTTGTTTTTGGTCATGGATGAGTTGTTGCAAGATAGCTTGGATTTACCAGCAGTGGAAAGTACATCTATCCTGTTTCATGTCAGGACAATTTTGATATATTTTCCGCTTGCTTTTCTTTTTCCATTTTGTTTACCTAAAACAGATAATCTCCTAATTTTCAGGAGCAGTAATATTATGCCACTAATTAATTAGAAAACTTCTGGCACCAAGAAATTTAAGGTTTCTTTTACATTTAGAAAACATGAATGAGCCAACTAACTATGAATCAAATTATTTCATTTCAGATGCATATGTTTTTAAGATGTTAACAAAAGAAAAGTTAGTTTGCCTTCTAAAATTCTGGTTTTGTGTCCCCACATCTCTCCCAACCAACCGTCTGTATTGCTGTGAAAGAACATTCTCCTGCAAGAATTCCTGTGAAAAGGAGTTTGCCTTCTTACATTATTCTTACACCTATGTATTTTCAAACCTGAGAGTCTGGTAAACTTGATTTGTTTGTTCACCAGAATTGCAGCATTTGGAACATTTTCTTCTGGTACAGTTAGCTTTCACACAGCACTATGTTAAATGAACCAAATTCTTTGAAAAACCTATCCCAACCCCCTTGCTTGTGGTACCGCTCGATCAAGAACTACTGAAGGAAACCTGAAAACCTCTAAAGAAGACATGAGCACAACTTTATTCTTCAGAAAATGTAAACAAAAATGGAGCAGCCTCAGAATTTAGCGGTTGTAGGAGTTCTCTCTTGTTGTTGGTAAAAGACCACGAGTCACCTTTGAGAAAATGTTTCTGAAATATTACACGACAGATGTTGAATTTCTTGGAAGTCTTGTCTGTTGTAAAACTAACTCAGCATTTCATAAAAGGAACAACATACCTGCAACTAAACATGGTGCTGGAAGTGTGATGGTGTGGGGCTGCTTTGCTGCATCAGCATCTGGACGATTTGTTGAAAAATTTGCATAATGAATTCTGCTTTCTAGCAGAAAGCCCTGAAGGAAAATGCAGAGCCATCATTTTGTGACCTTAAGCAGAAGCAGGATTCTAAGCAAAGCTGCAAGTCCAAATCAGGGATGTCCAAAGTCTCTCCTCAACCAAGTGGACCGGCGCAGTCTCCTGCATGTCTTTGTTCTCTCCCTGGTTCAACATGTCTGGATCAAATAATAGCTCATTAGTAGGCCTCTGCAGAACACTGACATGCTGAGGAGTAGTACATGCATGAGCAAAAACATGCAGGATACTTTTGCTTGAGGATTGACTTTGGACACAGTTAGACTAAATAAAAACCGAATTAGAATAAAGGTAAACTCAGTTTATGTGACATATGTTCAGATTGGTTTTGATATTATTTTCTTCCTCTCTAATAAATGAAGTCATCATTTAGGCTCAGGTTATTTTTGATAGATAATAAAATGCATTCAGTGACCTAATGCATTTCCTTATGAAAATAACTAAAAGGAAAGAAAACTGAAAAAAATCATGGGGCCAAAACCTTTTCATAGCAGATTAGATGACCAATTAAATACATTTTGTATATAACAAATAATTGCAACAACATTCCCAATTTTGAAAGGAGAGTTAATTCAAAAGCAGCATCAAATTAGATATCTGTGACACATTGATTTGGCAATGTGCTTGCTGTCTTGTTTGCTGGTTAAATTGGTTGAAATGACAAAAGCCTCACTTCAAATCTGCATGAATTAGTAGAATTTGGCAGAATTTGGCTTGTGGGGCCGACTTGAAGAAGATCTCCTCATTTCTTTCCTAAACAAAGTTTAATTGAACAAACTTAAAATCAATCACAGGTACATGGTTATCATTTTCCAAGATGCTACTCGTGAATAAATTTAACTCAAACACAAACAGCTGAACTTGAAGTATCATGTTGTAACTATGTTAACAATCAATAAAGTTGTTTTTTAAAAAACAAAACAAAACTTGCAAATCCCCCTTTTTTAAAAAATTCTTCAAAAGCAGATACACATTTTAGATATGAACTGAATTAAGATTCAAGAATTTATGAGAGGCTTCTAATGGTTTGGGAGATCTAAGCTTGTGTCGTTTCTGCCTTGGGCCAGTTCTGATTTCAACTCTGTTTCCTTTAATACTGACTCAGTTACCAGCTTTGCGGTTTTTTTGTTTTTTTTTAATGTTACCTGAAACGCCTAACTTTCGGTCGCATGACTGTTGTATTGTAAAGTAGGGAGCATTAGTGCAACATTGTCCACATATCCAGGAGTTGGGAGATTTCAGTGAGAAAGCCCAGGGCTGTTTTTGAAGTGTTCGCCGCATCTCATCCTGCCCCGCTTCATCCGAGACAGCTGTTATAGGCAGGCGCATGGAAAACGGTCCAATCTTTGGAGTGGGTTGGGATGCTCTACAAAACAGGAACGGGAGGGGTGAAAAAAAAAAAGGTGACTGAATCCACCTCTCTCCTCCCTGTGACGTCGCACGGTGTGGACTCGGGGTGCGCCGCTCTCTGGTCCCGTCTCGGCTTCCGCCCCGTTCGGACTCAGTCCATCTCACCTGCCGCCTCTCAAAGCTGCGGGGGGGAGAGACGCGCGTCAGGGTCGGGCTGCTGCTCCGAATACCCGGCTTTTTCCCCCCCCCCCTCCTCCTCCCAGTCTTCCTACTACTACTCCACGCCACTCGTCTTGTCCCACATTGTCAGTGAACTGTTTCCACACTGCGTGAAGAGAGCGAGGACAGGAACCGGTCGCTGAATTAGAAAACAAAAGGTGGCAAGAAGATTTAAAGAAGAAAGGAGGGAAGGCAGAGAAGAAGAAGGAGGAGGAGGAGGAAAGAGGTCGCTGTGGTTCTTCTCCTTTCAGCAGTTGCTGAATCTCCCACCGAGAAGATGCCGAGGATAGTGTGCATGTTGGCAGTTCTGGCTGCGGGGCTGAGCGCCGCTCACACCAAAGGTACGGTAGGTGAAGGGCAGCCTGCTGCTGCTCCTGCTCCGGGCTCAGCAGCTGTTGGTGTGGATGTGTGCAGAAATAAAAAAAAAATGAAAAAGAAAAGAAAAGAAAATGTCCCTCTGACACTGATAACTCCCTGCTGATCGTCGCTGATTGCTCTCCGATTCTCGATAACATCTCTGCTTTATCCCTGATCACCAATGGCATTTCAAGGTGTTTGCTTTATCTCCCGCAGCTTGTCTGTGCTGCTTAACAAGGTGACCTGTTTTGGTCCAGATCTGCTATCTTTGCTACATTTAGAGCTCACATTTCTGTAAGTAAGAGCTGGATGTGGGAGAAACGTTGTGTTATTCAGCTCAGCAGTGCACGCCTGCAGGGCTTCCCTGTTGTTTGAGACTGATAGATGAAGTTATGTAGGAGGAAAGCAGAGGATGCAGGCAAGTTCTCATGAAACTGGAACATCAGTGGTGATGATGTAGATGTGATGAGCTTGATGCCTCTTGGAAGTTGGGACAGTCAAGATCAGGAAACGTTAGGAAATCTCTTAACTAAAAGTGGAGCTGATCAAAATGTCTGTGACAAGCACACAGAGTGAACTTAAAGGTCCCCATTTTTTCCTTCTGCAATAGCTGGTGCTTAAGCTTAATATGACATTAATTATTGACGTCCAACTAATCCGATTAGCTCACACAAATGTCAAAACACAAAGCCACAGTCATACAGCAAGACAACATCCAGATGTCAAAACTGTTTGCCTCACTGTTGGCACTTTCTTGCTTCACTTGCTGAACTAATTTTAGTCTTCACCCACCCGCTGCTCAGTTCTCCTGCGAGAGTAGCGTGTGTTCTGGGTAAAGCTGCTACACGTGGCAACAGGTTTGTGCTAATCAACTCCCCTTGGACCCCGGATGAGCTCTTCTTCTGCCGTGAAATAACAAGTTGACATCTGTCAGTTTCGTCTGGCAGGCACAGGAGACTCTGCAGCTGCAATAAGCTGCTCATCCTCCCTGACACAGCAGCCAGCCTCCCCGGGTTTATTGTCTGTGTGTGGAGGAAAAACAGATGGAAATAGAGCCGCTGCAGGCTGTGTGACCTGGACAAGAGGTCAGAATTTTGCCCCACGTCCACTTGCAGACACCCAACAGGATGACTATGATGTGCTGTGCTCTGGGATAAATTGATGCATCGGCTGGTTGCCGCCTGTTAGGAAACTCATGGAATTAGCTGTAAGCAAACTGTTTGGGCTGGAATTGTCGAATGAGGCATGGGCTAATTACCAATGTCTCTTTACCATACCGCAGCTTTGAGACTACAATTTCCATCATACCTTTCCTTAAATTGTTTTTTTAAAAAGTCCTGAAATATTGCAGTTGCTGCACACTGCCAGTCAGCAGCCGGCTGAAAGAGTAGAACCGAAATAAAGTAGAAGCAGCCTTTCTATTCAGCAAAGAGGAAATTCAAGTGTAACAGCAGCATTAGTTGTATAGATCCACACAAAAAATGTTTTTAAAGTGTTAAAAGCTATGTATAAAAACCAGATAAGAAAAAAAATAAGGAAAGATAAATGCAGCTGAATGCAGGTTCACAGAGCAAAACAAATAGGAATAAATGTACGGTATTAATAATAAAAGTAATTATTTTTATGGAATTGGATTTGGAATGAAGACCACATAATAATAAAAGTAGGGATTAAAAATAAACAGTCCTATCATATTCTTGGGCTCTCAGGCAGGACTTAAAGAGGTATGAAACAGCTTATTGTACATAAGCAGCAGTAAGAATAATTGTTGCTTATTTGTTTTGATAAAAAATACACGGTTTTACAGATTGATGTTGTTTTTCTTTGCTCATTTTTTCTATGTATTAAAATGTTGCATATAAATATTTTCAGAGTAGGAAAATTCTTTCTTTTTGTAATTCGAACTTTTATGTTTTCGTTTAAAGTTTTTACTAAATTTACCAATACCATGAAAGTGTGATTTTGTTACTGGAGGCTCTCATACCATGAGAACCTGACTTGCTGCTGTCAAACCACAACGGTTCATGTTGTGGAAGGATTTATTGTTTTCCATCCAGTGCTTGACTGTGAAGTAAACAAATTACTCCTGAGCCAATGAAGGTGGAAAAACCAGGCGTGCCACAATTCTAATTGATTCCCCGGGGCCTCTGTACAGAGCAGTTTAAAAAAGCCAAACATAACAACTAAAAAAAACAAAAAACAAGCCCTATGTCTCCAGACTGTCTATCTGTGGCTACATTGGTTCTTGCAATCTTCCTCCAGTCCTGTTACAGCTGACAGAAACAAATCATTTCCCATTTCCTCCCACTGGAACTGTTTCTGCATTCCATTTTTTTTTTTACATTTTTATTTTAAACACAGACTGAAATAGAACATTCATGTCATGTGCAGGAGAGAAATCTGCCTGTGTGGTGCCAATAAGCGAAGCTGTTTTCCAGATAACTTTGAAGCGCCGCCACTCCTGTTTAGCCACCGTCTCATTCCAGGAAAGCACGGGAGCGGATGTGCACGTTGCTTTAATCACTGTCGCTGTGGAGTCCCTCCATAACCTTTTTACTGCTCACAAGGCAGAGCATTCATGTGTGTATCTGGACACGTGTGCTCGCCCACTCTGAGTATGTGTTGTCGGTAATCAGAGCTTGAAGCTTTAACATCCCTCCGTGTGAGGGTGTGTGTGAGTGATAGAGTGCATCCAACATGGTGACAGCCGCCAAGTATGCAGAATTGGGCGAGGAGGTGATGTCGTTTAAAAAGGAATTATTGCCTCCACAGATGCATACCGCGGCTCAAACGATTTCGCGGGGACTGAGCGTGTCGCCACGCGACGGACGGGGAGACTCTTTTGGCCACGAAGCAGAAAGTTTTCTTGTCTCTTGTGTCTCCTGTCATTGCTGCCCAGAGTCTAGCTTTTGTGTAATTCCAAGCAATATGACCTCTGAATTTAGATAGCTCATTACCAGTAGTGTATTTTAATTCAGCTTCCCACCATAAGACTCTTTGTTAGTGAGACTTCTTTTTGCTGCTTTGTTATACCCAGATGAACACACTTAACATTTCATCTTGTTGCCAAGCATGGAAACGGCTAGGATTTTATTTCCAGGCCCGTTGGTAGCAAGCTGCTGGGACTCTGACGTCCCATAGTAAAAGCTCTAGGATGGATTGAGGCAGGCTTTATAATTTATACCTCTCCATACGGTATTGTGCATGTTGCATGGTGTGTAAGGCGGTGCTATTGTGAGTGTGTGTGAGAGAGATAAAGCAAGTCAAGGGGGCTTTCGAGGTTCCCATTAGCAAATAAAACAGGAGGGGGGGCAAAAAGAGGTAGATTTATGCCCTCTCTTTGTCGGGAGAAAGTGCATTATGGAGGGACTCTATAAATCCTCCGACAAGGCTGTGACACGGGACGTGGCACAAATCTCGTCCGGCTCATCCCGACCAGGGGATGCGGCGGAACAGTGGAACAACACAGATTTATTTACAAACACTTGCTTTCTCCTCCTTTGAAAAAGCCCTGAACAGCCTTCTGCCTTTGCAGGGGAAGGAGAGCTTTGCGGCTACCGAGTCGGAGCCGCTTCATGCTGGTGATCCCCTCACAGATCTGCAACTATCAGAGACAAAGAGTAGACCCAGGGTGGATGAGTCAAAGCGGAAGATGGAGGGCTTGCTCAATCCTCTGAGAGCTGATGCTGAATCTGTTTTTATACTTATAGCAACAAAATGGGGGGAAAAGTCATTCACTGTGATTCATGTCAGGTTCATATGAGAAGAACAATTAAATCTGATTGAACATCAGATATTTATTCCGCTGTGCTACTGATTGTTAAAATGAGTGTTAACACCATGGTGAGATCCAAAGAGCTGTCCCAGCCTTTCAGAAAGAATGTTTTAGCAAGTTTTGTGTCTGGTAAGGTCTCAAAGCAATCTGAAATCACCTCCTTTCCTGTACAGAACACAGTCTGTAGGTGGAAGACATTCAGAAGAAGTATGAGCATAACCAAATCTAGTTGTCACACTAAGTCCACCATGAGAGCAGGCGAGAACATGCTAAAAGAAGTCTCCAAAAGCCATAAAATGGGACCCACCCGGTAGTGTTTGTATGGAAGTTCATACCAATACAAATAGTAACTATTTAGGTTTAACCTCCATTTGAGGTGTGAAATAAGGAAACATTTGCTCTGTACAAAAAATACAAAGGCCAGACTCTTGTGTGCCAGGAATACCTCTAGATATTTCCACTGGTTGTCATACTAATGTGTGCTAGTTCTAATATAAAACATTATTTATTAGTTTGGCTGTTTAGACTTAGTGAAATTAGGCCTGGTTTATGAAGGACACATTCCAGATAGAACTAGAAAAAATTCTAATGCTGATATTACTTTCTCTGTCATCTCCTTAAAATGACTTTTCAGCCTGGAGATGGCACATTAAACTTTAGTAAAAGACTAAATCTTTGTACACCTTGCAGCTAGCCAATGCCTTATCAGTAAAAAATGATTCTTTTTAACTGAATCTTAAAAAATATATATTTTATCACTTTAGAAATTCCATTGCATTTCAGTTTTACCTTCTGATGTGAATCTAGGCTACAAATAGTTGTAAATATTTGGTTCTCTGTATAGGAACAGAGGTTTGCACATAGAAAAAAATGCTAATAAGTGATTATGAACCTTTTTTTGACTGTAAACTGTGGAACACAGAGATTACAGAGCAGTGCAGCTTCATATAAATTAAACATAGCATTAAATTTATGGCTGACTAAATATATTATTGTACTCTACCATCACAAAATTAGAACGTATAATATTAACAGTGAACCACAAATACAGTGGCATTTTTCTGAAAGCCTCTCATTGACATTTGCTTTGTGGTCGAATCTTGTGTTGTTTTTTTTTTTTTTTTGCGTATGGTTCTTGCATTTTAACTACTATCTGCTCAGATGTGGAAAGTGGGAGAGAAGGGAGTCACAGTGGATGAGAGCATCTAG